TTGAGTGTATTTGCCTCAGTGTTGAGTCACGTTAACCAGATTATGAGCTGAAATTTAAGACCAGGGGTTCTAGTTACTCACTTATGATAGGAGAACTATAACTGTCACACCCTCCAGAGTAACTGAGTTGGCATGGCTAAGGCCGAGACATAACCAGAACGTTGCATATTAAACATGGGACCAGAACATAGTTCTTAATGAGCTAAGATAAATAAAATATCTAAGAGTGTTAAGTTAACCAGATGGCATCATTGTCTTATTAGAAGAGGCTCTTTCTTCTCAGATGAGAAATACTTAAGGTCTTTAGGTAAAGTCATCGTAGAATCTTCAACTTGGTGAAGAATGCCTTGTCAGTGGCAGTTTTGAATTTGTTGGACTCTCTCTGGTCTCCAGATCACAAAGGACAAACATCAGTTCTACCACTTGAAACCAAAGAGTTAGTGTTTGTATTAATCAGTTTTTCATCACTATAATGAAGTAGTTGAGGAGAGCTAACTTTCTAAGGAAAGAAGTTTATCTGTGGCTCACGGTTTTGGAGGTTTACAGTCTAAGATTGGGCAGGTCCCTTTGTTCTGGCATCTGGTGAAAGCATTCTGCTGGCAGACTTCCAGACAGGCAAAGAGCATGGCAAGAGACTGGCATATGTACTGTTGATGTCTAGGTCTCTTTCAGAGCCCCCAAATTTAATCATGGGGACTCTTCCTAACAAACCAATCCAATCACCTCCCAAAGGCCCCAGCTCCTAATACCTTAATGAGATTAAGCTTCCATGCTCTAAATACCATTAAAATAAGACATTAGGGACCAAGTCTTTAACACATGAGCCACTGGAGAATATTCAGTACTCAAACTAATATAAAAACCAGAGTAATGCAGGAGTACAAACATCTTACCCCTGTACCCCTTTATTCCATCTGCATGAATCTTGAGGGCATTTGATTGCAACTCCGACCCTAAAGGATGATCTTATTTCTGGTTACTTGGGTGGTGGAGGTCTACCTCACTACAGTAGCTATGTACTGCCAAAAAGGAGATACATGGAGTAGAGGGTGTGAAGTAGAATAAGGTAGATGAAAAAGGCCATGAGGAAGACCAAAACCCACTGTGATTACTTTGTTCAACTAGACTTAAGACAACCAGCTGCTTTGACTTGCAGATCATAGTGTAGGTTGGTGGATGGGGGGAGGGGGGCGGGGAGAAGGCCCACATGGGGGTGATGGAGCATGGAGTAACTAATGGTCATTGGTATACTATTGCTCTTCCATTCATTTTGCTTCCTTACAGTGGGTCTCTGCCCTGGGGTGCACTTCATTTACCAGCATTAAGACCCAAGACCTGATGAAGCTCCTTGCTTAAAACAAGAGAGAAAAAAAATCCTTGCCTTGTCTTGTATTTTCTCTTGAAATGATTCTTCCCTTCCATTCCCATCACCACTTTTATGGTCCAGGCTTTAGTTCTGTAGGCTAAGTGCTTTTAAATTAAGTAGCAGGACAACTGCCTGACTGCATAGGAACCAGTTAGAGAGTTGTTTGAAATGCAGACCCCATGATTCTGATTGGGTGGCTATAAAGGTGGGGCCCAGGGATCTGCATTTTTTCAAAGCTCTACATGCTGCATTCAGAGGTATAACCGTATTTGGGGTATTTTTGTGGAGATAACCCTTACAAGTTATTGTTACAAAGCAACAGCAGTGCCCCTTGTATCCTCTGATACTTTCTTTTCCAATCCTCCCTGTTAGCATTATCAGGCTAACAATTACAACATACACACATGTGTGTGTGACATAAGCCTGTTAGTATCATTGCCCTGAACAAAAACTTCTGATAATCTCAGAATTTTCTGGTGAGAGTGAGAACTATAAATCCTTTGCCTTACAACAGTACAAAGCCTCCCACATGAGAGACCATCTATCTGACTATCATGTAGAGAGTTTCAGACTCGTGGGTGAGAAAAGTAAGGCTTTGGTAAATAAATCTGTTTTCACCTTTTTGAAATACTCTTACCCTCTGGACCAGATGACTATATTTAATTATCCATGCCCAAGAATTAATAACCTATATGCATTATTTCGCTTAATTCTTCAGTTACAGAAGGTAGGTGAAGATATCCCTATGCTGTGGTTAGTAAGCTGAGGGTCTGAAATTTCAAGAGATTGACCTAGAAGTCATATAGCTCTTATATGTTGTAGCTAAAATTTTAGTCTAGGTATGCTAGATTCCAGAACTTGCACTCAGTGAAATTATCGATTTTATCTTCCTTATTTTTGCTTCTGTTTTCGACGACTGAGTTATCAGTGTAAGTATTAAAAAATACAACAGGGGTCAACACTGTGGTGTAGCAGCACTGGTATTCCACACAGGCACCAGTTCAAGTCCTGGCTGCTCCAGCTCCAATCCAGCCCCTAGCTAATATGCCTGGGAAGCATTGGAAGATGGTTGAAATACTTAAGTCCCTTCACCCACATGTGAGACTCAGATGAAGCTCCTGGCTCCTGGCTTTGGCCTAGCCCAGCCCTGGCCATTGAGGCCATTTGGGGAGTGAAAAAGCAGTTGGAAGACACTCTCTCTCACTCTCTCTCTCTCTCTGCCTTGGCCTCTCCTTCTCTCTCTGACTTTCAAATAAATAAATAGATCTTTAAAAAATACAACAAAAAGGGTCATTTATGTTTCTCACCAATTTTCAAAAGAAGAACAGGATTTGGTGAAACATATCTCTCTCTATTCTTTCTCTTTTGTCCAACAAATTTTACCCAATAAAATTATAGCTGTTTCTCTTTTTAAAAAATTTGTGTTTATTTATTCATTTATTTCTTTTGAGAGAGAGAGAATCTTCCATCTGCTGGTCTATTCCTCAGATACAATACCACAACAACTTGGGCTGGGCCAGGCTGAAGCCAGGAGCTCCTTCCGGGCTCCCCCATTGTTGGCTAGTACTCAAGAGCTTATGCCATAATTTGGTTGGTATGCTTTAGCAGGAAGCTGGATTCAGGAGCACAGCCAAAACTTGAACCCAGGCACTCCAGTATGGAATACAGGAGTCTCAAGCAACATCTTTACTGCTGTGCTAAACACCTACCCCTTCATATTTCTCTTAACTACGGTTTTAGAAAATTTGAGTCCAAGATGGAAAAGCAGAAGCCATGCCAGTTGGGAAGGTGCAGTTGCAGAATGCCTGATGGGTTTGGGAATATGGTTTGCTCTCTCCATTGTTTATAAGGTTATTTGAAGCCATCATGCTACCATTGGCTTTCTTTTTCACATGTCCCCATAACATTAGAGATGAGAGGCCTTGGAGCTTGGAAAGAACCAGAATGGGTTTCTCACTTAAAAAAGAAAAGTTCCTGGCAAATGATAGCATCTCCTGTGGATGCTGGTTTATGTCCCAGGTGTTCCACTTCTATTCCAGCTCCCTGTTAATGGCTTGGGAAAGCAGGAGAAGATGGCCTAACTGCTTGGGCTCCTGCCACCCACATGGGAGACCTGGAAGAAACTCCTGGCTCCTGGCTTCAGACCAGCCCAGCTCCAGCCATTGGAGTCATCTGGGGAGTGAACCAGCAGATGGAAGATCTCTCTCTCTCTCTCAATTTGTCTCTCTTTGTCTCCTCTCTCTCTGCAACTCTGACTTTCAAATAAATAAAAAGTTTTTAAACAATGTAGACAACTGTGCTGAAAGCATTTGTGATCTTGGTTTGGGAAGGATAATCTTGTGGACTTCCATCATTAATCATCTAGATTTAAGCAAAACCTTTGTTTTAATCAGTGGTCAATTCATGTAGGACAGAGACTGTATCTTAAGTTTTGTATCTGTAGTACTGAGTATAAGGTGGCACACAGTGGGTGTTATCTAGCCACTTGGCCAGATAACCAGATAACACAGATAACTTGTGTTATCTGGCACAGTTTTACAGCAGTCTGACCAATGCTCTAAGCTACTGTTTTTCATTTTTATGCAGGATCTTTGAATACCCTGTACAACTCTGTAACCAATTCTGATTTTTAGTTGCCTGAACAAACATTGGTTAGTGATTAAGATATGAACTATGACGAAGATGATGGAATGGAAAAAGTTTATTCGTGTTGCTTTTGAGCTTTTTGACAAAAAAGGTTTAGTATTTAGATTTAGCCTCTAACATAATAGTTGCAAAAAAGCTGAATAAAGAAGATGACTAGGAAAGTACAACTTTTGGAAAACTAAATCTAACATGAGGACTATGTATGTGAAGTTTTAGCAGGGAATGATTGTGAGTCAGCAACATACTTCCTTATTTTCTTAATTGTTAGACGCCCACTGACAGTTATCTACCAGAGCATAACATAGGAACTGCCAACTGACATGTCCAAAATACTTGGCATTAGTCAGATCCCTCTTTAGAATTCTGTGTCCACTTTGACTAAAGGAAAATGTAGAGAATTTGGCAAGGGTCTAGGGCATGGAAACTAGATGCAGAGGAGCGCTGGGAAGGCGGCCCCCTGGAAGAGGCTAGTATCTACGGATTTACCACTTAGCCTGATCAAACGCAGCTGAATGGTGATTACATTAATGGTCTTCTGCTGCATGTGTAGTTATTATGTAGAAGACTATAGTTAGCCAGGGAATAGAATTAGGGACCCGGATTTTCATTAGCGTTTTTGAAGGGGCATATAAAGAACCTCTTGACTTAAAGGACTGCTGGACAGTGGAAGACTTCGGCACAGGAAGTGTGAAATTGTGTTCAGAGGGTGGGCACACCTTTGCCAGTTAGTGTGAGGAGCAGTTGGGGTAAAAGTGGACAGACTGCCTAGATGCTGTTTTGTGCTGCTCATCTCACACTGTGTTGACATTTTCAGGGAGTATGTGAGTTTTCCCTCTTTGTATTTCTTAGACTTAGTACAAATATGAAGACCCCTCTTTTTGTTTCTATCATGCATTTCAAGCAAATAAGAGGCAAATAGGCTTGCTGCTTGTTATGTGAGTCCTGCCAATATTATGATTCCAACTTTCCTTTTCTTTTCCTTCTTTAGAAAATTTGCTGCGTGCCCTCCTCGCTTGCTCGACGATGAGTGCCAAATCTGCCATCAGCAAGGAAATTTTTGCACCTCTTGATGAAAGGATGCTGGGAGCTGTCCAAGTCAAGAGGAGGACAAAGAAAAAGATTCCGTTTTTGGCGACTGGGGGTCAAGGCGAATATTTAACTTACATCTGCCTGTCAGGTAATAAAAATTAGATATTCATGTTCCTAAGACAACTTCTATTCTCAGTTAATTCTGAGTTATCCAGGAGGATTTTACTCCCAGGTGGTATAGACATCTGCTCTCCCACTCCTCTTTCTATTTTTCTGTTGTCTTTCTCTGAATCTTATTGACTTGAGCGACCTCTATGTTGGCGGTCACGTTGTGTTGAAAAGCTAATGAAGTCCAATTTTAATGCGTTTTTCAGTTAATTTAGAGTATTTGTAAAGGGTTTGATATGTTCATACTTTTTCTTTCATGAGAGCATTGACAGAGTGAACTCTCCTCTGGTATTTTGTTGGCTTAGAATAATTCCTGATATTAAGAAAATTGTCATTACTGGCAGCCTGAGCTTCATGACTTTCTTTTTCTAGACACTTGTCAACCAATAATCAGTAATAGTTTGTCTTGAGGTAAATATTGGCACCTTATGGAAAGTGAGAAAGTAGATTTAGTTCCCAAATCTTTGCTTTGCCTGACAGCTGTTCCTTGTCAGGAAGAGGCGTCTGTTTTAGTAAGCTTAGAATTGTGTTAGATTATGATTTTTTTCTCTTTCTGTTGTGATTGTAGGATATCTGTGGGATTTACTGTGGATTCAGACAAACTTTCCTGAGATAAAATTTGGATAAAGTTCTCATGGAGTTGTGGGTGATGCTAATCTGGATGCCTGGGGGCATTTGTAATATTTTGATAAAAGTTTCTTGTAATAGAGTGATGGAAGAATTAATCTTACCTCAATTCATCTTTGAAAAATAGCTTTAGCTGTGGCTTGGGAATAAAACTTCTATTGAAAGTATTTTTAGATTTTTAAAACATTAAGCCCATGATCATTTAGGTTTACCAGAATTTATTTCAAGGTAGAAATAATGTCTTATCAGAAAGAACATGTAAATTCTTAAGAATGTATCTTAAAATGAAACAATAGCATAATACTTTGATAAGAATGGTTTTTCAAAATAATGGTTAGAAGAAAGCTTTTACTTATATGAGTGTGAGAACTGACCCTGAAAAATTCATCTTTTTTGTCCCAAATATGCATTAGGTTAATAATTTGGTTATTGTTAGAAGACATTTCTATTTCTTTAATATGCTTAGCAGTGCCTAGCATATGGTAGGGGCTCAATTAATATCTAATGACCAAGTGAAAGAAAAAAGTAGCCTTTCTTAATATCTTCCAGTACTGGCCGGCGCCGCGGCTCACTAGGCTAATCTTCCACCTTGCGGCACCGGCACACCGGGTTCTAGTCCTGGTCAGGGTGCCAGATTCTGTCCCGGTTGCCCCTCTTCCAGGCCAGCTCTCTGCTGTGGCCAGTGCAGTGGAGGATGGCCCAAGTGCTTGGGCCCTGCACCCCGTGGGAGACCAGGAGAAGTACCTGGCTCCTGCCTTTGGATCAGCGTGGTGTGCCGGCTGTGGCGGCCATTGGAGGGTGAACCAATGACAAAGGAGGACCTTTCTCTCTGTCTCTCTCTCTCACTGTCCACTCTGCCTGTCAAAAAAAAATTTTTTAAAAATGAAAAAAAAATCTTCTAGTACTTTGTTAAAAATATTCAAATCTTAAAAATATTTTATATTTTTAAATTTAGATTCTAGAGTTTTACTTGCACCAGTGTCCTGGCTTCGGTTCACTGAGCTTTCTTGTAGACAGGTAGGTGGTAGAAAGGTGGGTGGTCCAGAAGCTCCCTGAGTTTTGCTTATTAGTACATACCTCAAATTGAAAGAGAACAGTTTTGCTAAGATGCTATTATCTGCCTTTTTCTGACCATGAAGTCTGTAAGAGTGACACAGAGCCTGTAACAACATCATTTCAGTGAAATAGCCTAACCTTTTCCCCTGCCATGGGAGATAATGACCTGGGGCTTATAGGATAACTGCATTTCCTTTACAAATTACCAAGACCTCCAGCTTTACAGTCTGAAACTATGAGAATCGCTCTTTTGTTGCATTCTAATGGAGGAAAGCCTTTTGTTCTCAAAGTCCTTATGCTTTTCATGGTTTTGAATTTTGAGAGGATGGATTGATAAAGTAGAGCTGACATTTAAGCAGACGCTATAATGGAAATTGGGGCAGGAAAAAATGAAGTGATTTTGACACCCCAGTATTTTGCAGTTGGATTTTTCTTAAAAGTGGAAAGAAGTCTTAATTTCTAACTTATGTGAAGCTTAGAGGCATATCAGTCACATCCTTGACAGGGTAATGTTTTAATTAACAATTAATTAGTCAGATGTTTATTAACTACCCTTTTATGTGCTGAGCATTCTAAAGGTTTTTATTTATTTGAGAGGTAGAGTTAGAGGGAAAGAGAGAGAGAGAGGGGTCTTCCACCTGCTGGTTCACTTCCCAAATGGTCACAATGGCCAGAATTGAGCTAACTGGGAGCCAGGAGCTTCTTCTGGGTCTCCCATGAGGGTTCAGGACCCAACTGCTGGGGCCATCTTCCACTGCTTTCTCAGTCTATAGCAGAGAGCTGGATTGGAACAGGAGCAGCTGGGACTTGAACCAGTGCACTTAGGGGATGCTGGCGCAGCAGGCAGAGGATTAACCTACTGCGCCACAGTGCCGGCCCCATGCTGAGCATTTTAGATGCTGGGCGTACAGTTATGAGAAAAATGTAGGCAGCTTCTCTAGTTTGGAGAGGAGGAAGCAGTAGACATTAACAAATCACTCACTAAAATAAGCATAATTATAAACTGCAAAAGAGGTAAAGAGAGAAAAGGCAGTGATGTGAAAGTGCAGAGCTTCTGGAAAAGTAGGGCTTCACTGGTTTTGATGACAGGATTGCGTGGGTGAGAGGACACTCCGGGCAGCGGGAACGGCAGCTTCATTAAGAGACTCACCAGGATTTTGGTTTTTCTCCTTTCTCCTGTACAGCCTATGGATGATCTCTTTGTAGCTCAACACACATGGGAGCTATGAAACAAAGCAGGGCACTGGAAGGGTGGTGTTCTTGCTGCTATTAGTGTGAGCTGCCCATGCTCTCTGGGAGGGCCAGACCCTCCACTGTTGTGGTTTGCGTGATGAAAACTGGCCCTTCGTTTTGAACAGGCAAACTTTGTCCACATGAAGTCAGTGCCTGCAAGTAATTTTAACCACTCTTCAGATAGCAGGAAGAATTGAATTTTTTAAAAAGGGAAAAATATCACGACTTGAAAAGCCTGCCCCAATTTGTATCTAGGCATAGTTGTTTTATGTGTATCCAGTGTCTCTATTGTTTCTCCATGTAAATTTTAGTTTTCTGGTATCATACAACTTACAATGTAGGAGGTAGAGTTTGTGATCATAAGCTACATTTTCAAGTAGGCCATATATCCTCTGGAGAGATTAAAAAAAAATTAGAGGAGCTGAAGTGAGGGGGATAAGCTGTTCTTTCTTGGGTTGTATAGTTGTAAATCTGTAGGGAGAAGAATCTCTCCAGTCCCTCCATGGAGTCTTGGGGTCTTGGGGATCGGGTTTGTGTCTTTCTTTCTGGGTCCCCACCTGACTAATGCAGTGGGTTGCCAGTGCTTGCATACCCATGTGCCTCAAAGCATTGGTTTCTACTTCTCCTTTTCAGCAGAGACTAAAATGAAAATACAGATAATACCAAGTCGTAGCAAGCATGTGGAGCAATTAGAGCTCTTGTACTTTGCTGATGGGAGTGTAAAAATCCTGAAATGATTTTCATGAGCAGATTGGCAGGTTTTTTATAAAGTCAAACACACACAAAGTTTTATACAAATCCTTACAGAGTCACAAGACTGTAAGAATTTATTCAGACTGTAAGAATTTATTCACCTTGTCTTAGTATACCCCATAAATTGGCTGGAAACTAGCCTGCTTCTTTGTAAGAACTTTTCCCAGAAGGCCTTTTGAACCTTCAGATAAGTATCAGTATATCAGTAAACTTGCATTTGCACCTTTATTGTCTGTCTACGTGCAAAATCTTTATCTATGCTACCTCTTAATTATTCTCCTACAAGGGTTAGGTTGCTCAGGGACTGGACTTGATGATGTGTTCTTCCCATAACACTTGGCACAGTGCTAGGTGTGGACATGGTAGGTGTTGAATGGAAGATGCTATATGGGTTTTTACTTACTTGATTATAATGTAGGCTTTATATGCAACTTAGAACTGTTAGGGCCCTTAGAGTGTGAAGCATGCCCTACCAATGACAATTTCCATGGTCACTTGTCCCCTCCATGATAATCTGGATCTATAAAACTAAAATAGAAACACACTAAGGTAAGTCAGTTTGCTATTAGAGGCCATTTACCTACTGAAGATACCCTACATTTCATGTTTAAAATCTGTTTGCCTGATCCTGTTTTAGTTCAGCATGTGTAATGCAGGATGCTGGCCTCATATCCATAAGCGATACAGAACTTCCTTGGCTGCGTCTCATTGTCTTCACATGTGGGAAGGAGCATGTGGGATCTTTAATTTTCATGATTAGTATATTCTTTCACATATTTTGTTGAAACAGAAAAGTTTAATCTTTTCCAAAATAATTTTAGGCTTGTAGAGAGAGCAAGGTTGTCTTACTTCTTTTTAAAAAGGTTTGAATAGTCTTTGATGAAATAATTTATGTAAATAGATACTTATGGGAGGTAATGACACAGATTAGAAGTGTAGAACCTGGTGATGCTGTCCTTTATCTCAGCCCTCATGTTCCTTAGAAGAGCCTACAGAACTTCTCAAAGTGCACGTGGCCTGGTTCCACATTGTCTACTAATACAGCACCAGGGGTGGGAAGAATGCTAATCTGTAACTTGAAAGTGTGCGCAAAAGATTCTGAAGCTAAGGTTGAGAGGTCACTATTTGGGGCAGTATCCCAGAACTCTTGGGATCTTTGACGTAATGACATATTTTTGGTATTCAATTTTATTACAGAGTAACTTTTAGTCACTTTATTGTTGTCTCAACATGATCAAACCTCTGTATTTTTCTAGGCTTTCATTTATTAAGTTGAAAAGTTAAGAGGAGTGACATTGAGGTTCCTTTGGG